ATCTTCATATCCGGTCACATGGGTGGAAAGCCACTCCCACAAAGGAGGCCACACCCACAGAGTAGGTTCGAACAATTTTTGAAACCCACCACTGCATGAGGTGACCACGCTCACTGCCTCCTGCACCTCAAAAATAATAAGACTTCCACAAAAATAAAGCCAAGTGTTATTTCGGAGGTCAAAAGAAAATAAGGCCCTGTCTTATTTTCGGGGAAACATGGTATTAAGGATAAAAAAGAAACAGAATACTTTTTGATATGGAACATATTTTACCAATGGCAAAATAATAGAAGTTGGAAAGAGAAGAATTGTTAAAGAAGATGATGTTAAATGTTAACTATTAATGTTACAATATTATTATATTATTAATAAGATGGCGAGGAATTATAACAACAAAAATGTAAGTCAAGGACTACCTGTAACACACATCTTACAGTATACTATTCCTGGCCCCAAATCCACTATTGTTGGTCTCTCTTCATCATTAACAGATGAAGCTGAAGATATCTCTTAATGTTAGTCATGATACTCTACCAATAAGTATGGAATCCACTCCTACCTTGATGTTACAGTAAAGTCTAAAAACATAATATTCTGTTGATCATTTTATCTACATGCTAAGATATAAAACGATCAAAAGAAGATGGTCTTTAAGCGGAAAATCCTGGATAAATGCTTCAGCAGTGTAGTTTCAGCGTTATAGAACAAATATTCCTTACAGCCAGGTATGGGAAGAACATTCCAATGCAGAAATTGGTGACCCAGTTGGAAAATCCGGCAATCGCAATAGCTGCTGGGCGAGGACCTTGGCTGAATAACTCTGCAACAATGAACCAGGGAATCGGTCCTGGTCCAATTTCAAAAAAAGACACAAAGAGGAAGACGGAAACCAGGCTGACGTAGCTCATCCATGTAATCTTGGGCTGAAAACAAAAGCAGAAGGAACCGTATTAAAATCACCATCAGCTTTCAGGCACAGCTAATGGAAAAACTTGGATGGCCCTTGTGTTTCTGTGTGGCTATGCACAAACCTTATGTACATGGTCAAATATCACGGTTCCATTAATTAATTGTTCTTTTGGCTAGTGTGCATTGGGTTTTATGTCTGCAGACCAGATTTATATCTTCTGTAGATAATTCAAAAGTTACAATACAATAGCAGAGTTGGAAGGGACCTTGGAGGTCTTCTAGTCCAACCCCCTGTCTAGGCAGGAAACCCTATACCATTTCAGACAAATGGCTAGTTGAAGAGTTGAACTAGTACCATGATTCCATGCCAAAGGCTAGATGGCATGACATAACAGTCATTTTTTTTTATTTTATTCAATGAAAGACAGCAGGTATGTTAAGTTTACTTGAAAGGGTGAAGACCCTGAAGCTTTCCAGATGTTGCTGAAAGCTCCAGCCATCTCAGGTGCCATCCACAATGATGAAAGACGCCGGGGCTTAAGTTCAACCACTTTTGTAGAAGATCTCAAAGGATAATAGCATTTAGCTGACCTTATCTGGACTTGAATGATACCAAATACCAGCATGGTTGGTGTTTGGATTGGCAACCACTTGGGAACCCCAGGGTTATATTTAGAGAGCAAATTACGGTATAATCTGGAATACGGCAGTTTGCAAACAGCTCCATTTACTTTCCAAAAAAGCTTCATGTTTGCATTCATGTTGTGTCACAATGTATGTACCAGCGTTTCTCAACCTTGGCAATTTTAGGATGTGTGGACTTCTACTCCCAGAATACTGGGAATGCTGGGAGTTGAAGTCCACCCTTCTTAAAGTTGCAAGGTTGAGAAACACTGCTATACACCATCTGTCTTCTTTTAAGATCACAGAAGAGAGAAATACAAATATTACTTTCCCCCTTGTTGATAGTGAGTGTGGCACATTTGTCCAGTCCAAACTCCATTGCAATACCTCCAGCTGTACTTTTGGACAACATTGAGCAGCAATTCTATTTCAGATGGTGTTTTTCTAGAGAGCTTTTCCATATATACATATTTCGGTTTCCAACTTAAGAAGCACATTCGGCTCCTTTTCCCATCAGCACATGCAACTAGACGCTGAGATTTGTACTCTTCTCTGCTCTCCTCTTTCTCGTTTCCTCTTGATTTGGAGAAGGGATTCATGCCAGGGGTGGTGTACACTTACTTTCCCTACCGGTTTGCAAATGTGAGCGCGCATGCGCTTTTGGCAAAAAAAAGGGCCTAAATGGGATGCCATAGAGCTGGGCATGTGTGGGTGGAGCTCCTGCGATTTCCGCTACCAGTTCGGGCAATCCGGTCTGAACTGGTAGAATACCACCTCTGATTCATGCTCCACTTAATTACTCCAGTGCATCATCAGTCACAGTGGTACCTGCATTGGTAGCTGAGAAACCCCAACATCCGCCGGCCAGTGTCGACTGGCGACTCCCCGGAGGAGAGCCTTCTCTGTGGCTGCTCCGACCCTCTGGAAC